CCGCCAGGCATGGGTATGGTGGACTTCTCGCGCACCCACGACCCGATGGGCTACATATCGCCCGAGCACGCGCAGGCGGCGCTCAACGTGTCGCTGCCGGTCAGCATGTTCATGAACATGTCGCACATCCCGCCGCGCTTCTTCAACCAGCACCAGCAGAGCATGCAGGGTGAGTGGCCGCGCTGTGCCAGGCGCCGCCGGCGGAGGCGCCCCAGGGGGGGGGGGGATGGTGGGTTATATTGATTTAACGGGACTTGCGATGGAGCCGGTCGTCTGTTTTGAAGTCGCCAGGTTTTATGCTCACTGAACGCGTGGTGGTTGTCATAAGTGCGTTACGATGCATAGAAATTGGGTGGCACATTTGAACAGTGATCTTTGGTTGCGGAAGCCACTGACGTCATGCCCTTCGGCCGTCTGTGGGGGAGTGACGGCGCGCTCAGCCGTTCCAGCTCAGAGGTCCATGGAACGAACCTCGCTCAGCAGTTTTCTTTTCTTTTCTTTTCGTCTGTGTTTGTGTCTGTGTCTGTGACTGTGACCTGACGCGGCTTCGACGCCGCCAGCCGCGTGCACAGCGTGACGCGTGACGTGTGGTGTGACGTTACCGTCAGGTCGGGACGCCGGCCGAGGTCGGGGCGGCATGCGCCGGGGCCGCGGCGGCCGCCCCAGCGCCGGCCCGGTGGGCTCGCAGGGCTCGCAGGGCCTGTCGCAGCAGGGCTACAGCCAGGACGGCACCCAGCCGTACACCCAGCAGGCCGGCGTCCAGCTCACGCAGAACATGTCACAGGTGGGTCCAGCTCACGCAGAACATGTCACAGGCGCGTCCAGCTCACGCAGAACATGTCAGGTGGGTCCAGCTCACGCAGAACATGCCACAGGCGGGTCCAGCTCACGCAGAACATGCCACAGGCGGGTCCAGCTCACGCAGACCATGTCACAGGCGGGTCCAGCTCACGCAGAACATGTCACAGGTGGGTCCAGCTCACGCAGAACATGCCACAGGCGGGTCCAGCTCACGCAGAACATGTCCAGGCGGGTCCAGCTCACGCAGACCATGCCACAGGCGGGTCCAGCTCACGCGGACCATATCACAGGCGGGTCCAGCTCACTCAGACCATGTCACAGGCGGGTACAGCTCACGCATAACATAGGCGAGTTGGTGTGTCCCGTGCATGCGGAGCGTGACCTGGCGCGGATTCGTCCGGTACACGCTGCGCGGGTCCGGTGTTGGCGGGAGTCTCCGGCCGGCCACTGACCCCGCGCCGGCGTCGTTGCAGTCGATGTCGCAGCCGGGCGGCGGCTTCAGCCTGTCGCAGCCGGGCCTGTCGCAGCCGGAGCTGTCGCAGGACCCGTACGCCATGGGCGAGTTCCACTCGCAGGCGGACGGCCTGCTGTCGCAGGACTCCACCTACCAGGGCGACCGCAGCGCCTTTCTGCCGGGCGCCTCTCAGGGCGCGCCATTCTCCCAGGTGGGGCCCGCCGACAGCCGGGGTCGGCGCTGTTCAGAGGCGCCAGCAGCTCACTGCACGGTGTGACGTGGCGGCGCAATAACGCAACGCATGGTGGGCGGCTCAGTGGCCGTGCTCCATGCGTTGCGTTGTTGTGGGATGTCCTCACCGCTTTACCTGAGTCTGGCATCTGATAGTTTCCGTCGTTATCTGGAAGCGATGCGTTATTTCCTGTTTCGACCGCGCTGGTTTTTCCCGCTGTCTGTGCGGTAATCTGCCGGATGTTGTGTATTGCTTGGCGGCGGCCCCACCAACAGCCGATTGTGAATGTGTCGGTCGTCTGTCGTGTTTGGAAAGGGGACGGCCAGGCGTTGAGGCACCGCCGAGGTTCGGTTGGGATGAAAGGGGGTGTTCCACCTTTGTGCGAGGTTTTGAACTGAAATAGGCATCTTGGATAGTGTTCGGTGCAGTTCACAGCCCTGTCCTTAAGACCTGAACCCTCCTATTTGCTGAGCCACACGCCCGCGAAGATGTGTAGACTCCTTGGGGGAGACTATTATAGGGTCACCCAGGCATCCATGACACCATAATAACGTCATTCACATTCTGCCACTCCTTTGATCATGCGGCGGTCAGGGTCAATGAAAATATAATGGGCGGGTCGTTGCTTTCTGTCGTTCGTAAGCAGGATTTCCAAGTATGGCGACCGTCAATTGCCTCTCAATCAGTGTGCAAAGAAAGATGACATAATCAAACAACGATATATTGAGGAACATATTTACTAAACAGGAAAATTATACTGTCTAGAGCATCTTTTTCCACTTAAAAGTATCCTAGTAGTTATAAGTGGGTTTATTTCATCATATCTGGTGCTTATTTCAACATCTTCAAATGTGGAATCCTTTTCATGTCAAATGTCAAATGTCAAATATTTGTGAGCCGTGCCGGGACGGCCTGTGTGCATTTTCGTGTTCATTCATCAGGGTTGTGTATCTAATGCATTGAGCATCCGGACTGTAGCGTTCGAAGGCAGCAGGGAAAAGGCCACCGAATTGGATAGCTTGCTGCTTTGCCATCCAGCCATCGGCTCGGCGGGGCCGTGTTTAGCCGTGTGTAGCCCTGACCGGCTGACTGAGCTGCGTCATTGGCCTCGTCGCACCGGGGACCATGTTCTGTTCGGCTTGGCCCGGCCCGGCCCGGTCCGGCCGCGCCGGGCTATGCTGACGTGTCGACGTCTCCTCGCAGCCCTACTGAGAACATCGGCGGCCCACGAACACGGCCCGGCCAGCGAGTTTCCGCGGCCAAGGAACAGACCTCAGGTCCATCTCCGGCGGCGCGCGCGCGCGCCGAGGACGCGGCAGCCACCTGGCGGCGGACGGCCGAACCAGCGGAGACGGAGAGCGCGCGCGGGCGGCCCGAGCGGCGCCCGCTGCGGCGCGCGCCACCCCGCCCGGCCGGCGGTGGAGAGAGCGAGAGCGACGCAGCGCGCCGGCGGGGGCGCCAGAGCGAGCCGCTCCGGCGGGCAGAGGGGCGCGGGGCGCGCCCCTCCGGCGGAGGAGGGCAGGCCGACACCGCGGCGGCGGCGCCGACAGCCGACCAACATCCAGCCGCGCCGGCGCAGTCTTTGGCTCGGGTTGCGTTCTTGTCGAGTGGCGGCCCGGCGGCGCCGCGCGCGCGCGCGCGTTCTGGCGCGCGTCGTGGCCCGTCGGGCTCGGATTCAGATTTCGAGGTTCCTTTTTATTTGCGGGCTGTGGGGACCTCAGCTGCTCTGTCCTGGCTCTCACTAAAAAAAGCAGCGGTGGCGACCGCGACTCTGGAGTAGGTTGTTGGGTGCTTCACGGCTTTTTGACGCGGTTGGAAATTCGTTTTGCCTGCTGTCGCTTCGAATACATTTAGTTTAGCAGACAGTGTTTACCTGGGGTGGAGGTTGGAAAGGCATGCTGCCTTAATCCTTTCGAGTGTTGACTTCAGCATTTTGACTGTGGATCACTCAATACCACATCTGCACGGCCGCGAGATGTCGTAAGGTCGCAGTCGCCTACACAGAGGATTCGATGTACTGACCTAGTTATTCTGGTATATGGGTACATGAGTTTCCCAGGTGATGTCCCTTTTTGCCAGATTGGGTGCCATTATTATTGGATGGCTGTTCTGAACCGCACAATCGGGCCAATGGAGCGTTATGTGATATGTTCCGAAAGGTAGGCTTTCCTTCGTGCCAACTGGTCGCATTTTACCGCTGCGTACTTTCTTGTATTTTACAATGCATTAAAAGGTTAGGGCTAGGGAACGATTTTTGTGATATGATCCCTGAAGTGTTGTGGCGCTTCGCCTGACATGGCGCATGGTGCTTAATGAATAGTCCTTACGCGAGGAGTAAATTATCGGCCATGCGAATGTTAAATAGTACTCTTCAAAACTACCAACCGTGGCTAGAAGCTCTGTGAAGGCCCGCCGCTTCACGAAAACCCTCGAGGCGGTATTGCATGGCCACGCTTCAACCATAGCTTATGAGATGGGTGGAGCTGCCCTCGGTGCTGTCGGGCACACCGGAGAGTCCGGAAACTGGCGGCAGTGTCACGGACAAGTTCCGGCACTGGCGGCAGTGTCGCTGACAAGTTTCGACGCTGGTGACAGTGTCACTGACAGGTTCCGGCACTGCCGGCAGTGTCACTGACAAGTTCCGGCAACTGGCGGCAGTGTCTGGAAAGGATGAGAGCTCTAGATAACTGAGATCACACAGGCTTCATGATCAGTCTACGTCGGTCAGGGCCGGTGACGCCGCCTGCAGATCGAAATCGCGAGGGCCTGAGGTCTTAAAACAATTGTAACCATCTGAATGATGGAGTTCGGGTGGTGGATGAGCGTTGCTCCATATCCCGGAGCACGAAGTACGGTACGACGATGCATGTGTTGACAACCCGGACTAACAGGTTGATAGCTTAGTGTGTCGTGTGTAATCGGAGTCACGCAATATTGCTGCAATGTGGACGCAAAAATGTAATTTCCACACTAGGCAAAATTTCGTGCTTTACTTGTCGAAAGGCATCATGAGTTTATGGTATCCTGAGTTTTCGAGTTGAGAGTGGCAAAACTAAGCGTACATCATGTAAGCAAAGGCAATACGTGGCTGGCCGGGACGTAGGCCGGATGATGAAACAACTTTAACAACGAGGAGGAATGCTGAGCAGAATGAAGGGGAGCAGAGCCTTACGAATTATCAGCCAGGCCATACCCCGCCTATCACCCGTCGCCTGCAGATAGGCTACGGCTGAAAGTGGGGGTTGTTCATAATGCTCAACTTTCAACATCCTTGTAAGTATTTCTTTACCACCTGGTCTACGCCTAAGCCATATTTCATAATCATAGGTCACCTTTTCATGTGTTTTAACGGTCCATTTAAAGTTTGTTCGCGCTGTTGGACACGCGCTGGGCCTGACGTGAAACGTTTGATGATAGAACCGTACATAAGGCGCGCATGCGCACGGGTCACGTGACCATGAGACATTGGTCAACGCACGCATCGGTTTCGTGTAATAGGGGCTGCTGGTAGGTGGAGGGTTCATGTGGTTGTCGGTGTTGACGCCGGTCGAAGTGACGTGTTGTTAAGGTCTATTTGCACGATTGTGTGGAACCCATGCTTTCACTTGATATGGAATTTGTGTTACGACTGTTTCATAGAGGGACAAAGCCGAAGGCACACCGGAGCGCAATGTCAGTGTTATGCAACTGAACTGAATACGCGGGAATACATCGAGGTTCAACCAGATATTTCACTTAGGTCTTATAATTCTGCTTAAGTCTAGGCTAGTTTGGGTAAGTGTTATTCTGCCGATTTGCCGTGTGTGCGCATTGAAATGGGTGGCGTTAGGTCCGAGACGATATTGGCGCAGTAAGTTCTTTGTTTTAAGGCATGTGGGCATGCGTGGTTGTGCGTCGCAGTTGGTGGACTTTCAGTGTTGTACGCGCTTTGAAGTGTAAGGTTTGTTGGTATCTGGTGATTGATGGCTTGCAGTGGGCAATTTCATCTCACCATAATAAGTCTGGGAAGGCATAAAGCAGTTTCCCAAGTACTCAGACTGAAGTGTGGACATAGTATAACTAGCAAGATGCAACCAGAATCATGCAGATTTAGAACTGAATGGTATTGGTTAGAATAAAGAGTGCTGCAGAGATTGCAATTATTTAGTGCTGCACTGTTCACAGGAAGCTTTGACCAATTTCTGGGATGTTGGGGTGACTATTGGATAACCTTTGGTATATCATTAATGCGGGTATGGCTCAAAGTTTTCTAAGTCAGATGTTGCTGCATTCTGCTGCCTGCACTTTTGACCAAAAGACTGCTGTGAAACTTCAACAAGGTGGATGGCATGCAGAAACTTCAGTGCACTTTGGATGTTGTGCTGAAAATATCAGGACATGAGCTTACTTGGACCCTGCTTTGCTTTTGTGATATGTCTAAGAATTTTGTGCTGCTCTGCCATGCCAGTCATGTAATTAGTTGTTTTTCCTGATTTGCTGTTCTGCTGTGTAATTTGGCTTTAGTACACCCAGCAAAATTGGAGGCTTTGCACAAAGTTGGCTAAGGAAGGGATATCTTTGGATTTCAGGGGTGACTCAACCATCACCTCCATCTCCACCCTCCTTTTATCCATAGGTCTATGTCCATGATGATTTAGGTCCAGGGTATGTAGGCTGGGGTCCAAATCCAGGATTATTATGTCCATTTGTCCCTAGGTAGCTTGTATTTGATCTAATTTAAAATGTTAATTTGTCTTAGCTTATAATGTAGGTTTAATTTTTGTACCTCCTGCTAATGTATGTGAAGAAACTGTGCAAAGCCCATTGCAAAACAATAAGCATTGAGGTGGCACAGGACAGGCAAAACAATAGGTCACAGGTCACAGCACAGGTCACTTCCTATATGTCCAAACCAGGATGACAGCCTGCTGGGAACTTTTATGATGGGCCACATGAAAGTTCTTATTGGACAAAGTTATAACAGGGAGAGTTTCACTAACATGCTACTTGCAGATTCCCAAATTGCATTGCTTGGAAATTGTCTGTATGTAGGTCTAAAAGACTTGGCAATTTCACTTGATATGAATGCAATTTTAGTGGGTACAGTTTTGGAGGCTGTAATGAGAGTTTCAGGGCTCATTACACTATACAGGGCCCTATGCTGTTGCCAAGAGCATGATATGTCCACTTACTGGTGCAATCTGATCTGTCAGAGGTCTTCCATGTTGCCCTTGATTTTGCTGCACTTGCTGGGAGCCCCTTGCCTGGGTATTCTCAGTTAATGAAGGAACCTTCAAAGTGTCAATTCAGTGAAGGTGTCAGGTTTTTTCCACTTACTCAGGGCCCATAATTCAGAGACATTCATTGCTTAGGGGCTCTCCACATTGGTGTAGAGCCCTTTTTACTTGCATTCATTGGCAAATGATGAAGCACTATTGCCTGTTAGCCTGCCTGGGCATTTTTGATTGTGCAAGAGCCCACCGCATTGGTGTTGTGCTCTTCATATTCACCCTCAGGACCCTACACCATTGTTGGGACCCATCTACAGTTACCTGCCAAGGTGCTCCTGATCACTCAGGGGCCTTCCACTGTGGTCTCAGGTCCTTCACATTTGTCCAGATGACCCTGCACTCTGGCCAGAACCCTTTCTCCTGTGGCATTCCAGATTATTCAGGGGCCCACCACATTGATTTTGGGTTTGTGTTTGCTTGGAGAATCCTGCACTGTTGACTGTGACATTTATAATGCATTATCATGCTGCTGCATGCACTGCACATTCTTAACAAAGTTTGAATGTTGTCATACTCTAGTTATTTATCGCTGTCAAAACACAAGCTCGGGTTCAGTCATTAGCCATCATCTGATCAAAGCATAGACTTACTGACTCAGTGCCAGAGACTGGTTTACTGTGACCAGCCTGGGATGAAGTGTCAGGACTGAAATTATGATATTCAGAGGCAAACTTCAATGTTTTTACCATATCCTTTCTGAAGTAGTTGGCCTCTAAATGACAGGACCCACATTGATCTGGAGAAAATAAACATGCTCATTGTGTGCACACACATGCCATGCTTAGTTTTGTAAGGCTATGTACAGGAAAATGTTTTTTGTTCATCAAAGCAAATTTGAAGTGTTAAAATTTGTTGTAAACACAATGTGCCAAAATCCGAGGATTTGTGGGGAGGGGCACAATGCTGCGTTTCCACCCCTTTGATGAGTTCTGGGATCCACCACTGTCCCATTCTCCCTCGGTGTATGCGGTGACCTGTGTACGCGAGACCGGCTTGGTGGCATGGCTCGCATGTCACCGAGCAGGTGACATGGCTCGCGCCTCGGCCGGTGGTCGGCGCATCCACTAGTGGGACAGCACTGTGATGAGCTACTGATGTGTTCATGGCTCAATGGCCGTAGTCGCTGAGACCTGGTGATAGTCGGACCCTGGTTTATGCTCGCACGTGTGTGGTCGGCTGCACGCGTCATCGCCCCGCACTCTTGTCAACGCGATCGGACCTCTGTGATCTCTGTCAGAGCGGTGTCAGGTCGCCTCGCGTCGCTGTTGCGCCGTGCGAGCGCGATCAGACCGCTCTGATCTCCGTCAGAGCGGTGTCAGGTCGCCTTGCGTCGCTGTTGCGCCGTGCCAGCGCGATCAGACCGCTCCGATCTGTGTCAGAGCGGTATCAGGTCTCCTTGCGTCGCTGTTACGCCGCGCCGGCGGGTTCTGCGGGCGGCCGTGGCCCGTGTTCAGTAGGGTTACCGTGGAGCTTAGCTTACGGCAGGTCTCAGGGCTACGTTTGGCTTGTTTGCATGAAAGGAGGATTTAGTTATCATCACATAACAGTGCTGCAGGGAAATTGTGCCTTATGAAAGCGTTTGTGCGTAACCGTTGTAAAAAAGTATTCTGCCTGACTTGTCGGGAGTTACACCGCTCGTTGCTGACACGGGCATGATGTCTCAGTAAGCGGCTGCAAAGTACCAGCGTCTAGAGTGTGTGCCGTCCGAGCCGGCCTGACTGCCATCCTGGTCCGCCCAAGCCCAAAATTGTATCACCCCCAAATAGAACACGACATGTCGGTGGTCTCCCTCATAGCCGATGAAATATGAAGTTTGCTGTTAAATTGTTTAGCTTGTGGTTGGAATGCAGTATCTGTTCAGATATTTTATGCGTTGCTGGTTTTTCACGCGTTTGCACGTACAATGAGTCTGAATGTGAAACTTTCAGACCACACAGACATGCCTCCATATTTGTGCCCAATGGCATACTTTTTACCTTCTTCCAGCATTGGGTGCAGAATACTGACCTGCAATGTTAACTCACATTGCACCACAACATCTGTTGCAATGCTGCTGATAAGTGTTGATGAGTTACATCTCAAAAGCTCGGTCTCTTTTGGCCGTGATTGCCGAGTGGTTGGCTCGCGCGTGGGGGCCGGGTTTCAAATCTCGGGTGCGCCGTGACAAATGTTATCACTGCTACAGTTCCTGGTGCTCTGTGAAGAGAGTGTGTGACGACTTCGTCACATATACTTGTAAAGCGCATGCAGATCCCCCCATCCCCATCCCCCACTTACCTTTTAAGTGTACGCATTTGGTGTTGATGGTTCTGCTCACTTGTGGTCAACATTGGGAAGTCAGAATCCTATACATGTGCCACAAATGTGTATGTACATAACAATGCACCATACATTGAAGGCCGTGTAATTGGCTCAGGAATTCAAAGGAACCCGCAGTGACGTCTCACTCACACCCCGGATTTCGGAAATGTGCAGTGGTCGCAACCTGTCTCTAAATTCACAAGCTTCCAACCAGACATGTGTGTATGCCCGGTAATGCTGACACGGGTCCTGTGCTCTGGCAGATATATGTACATACTGTACATAGCGGACAGTGGCGTGACAGAGCATACGGGCGTCCCAGGCGGCGAACGCGATGAGTTCCGGTGGTCGCAGCTCGACCAGGAGCGCGGGCCGCTCCAAGGCGGAGCGCGGCCCGGGCAGGGAGGCCAGGCCGGCCGCCGACCCGGCCGCGCCGCACGACAAGCTCAAGCCACACACCAACGCCAAACCGGTGAGGCTACGCGCCGGCCGACCCCGCGTGCCGCTCTGCCCCGAGCCGGGCGCTGACGGCTATCTGTCACCCCCACCGTCGGGGGTGCGAGGCGGATTAAAAGCCTGCCCCTGCTATGGCAACTTGAGATCTGTTCGTTGCGTCAGCGACATTAAGGTGGCGAGCGGTCCGGTAAGCCTGGACGTTCGTACCAAGAAAGCGCTACGTGGACGGCGGCCGCATAGCTGGTGATGGCATGGGTCAGGCGAAACAGATCCTAGGTTACCAGGCTTTTCCTTGCGCCGCGTGGCGTGCGTGTTAAAAGCCCTGCAGCTTAACCACCGGCAGTGAATGTCATTTTAGATGGTTATGGCCAGTTCGTGTTACTCACCTTGTATTTGTATTTGTATCGTGTATCTTTTGAGCCGCGCTGCATCGCTTGACCATATCAGGGTGGGTAGTTGTCAACGGCTCCGCTTATCCTTGCCAATTGATCACAAATGGGGACTACAGGTCGCTTGCGTTTGGTATGTCCAAGTTAGTCCTGCAGTAATTAGGCCTTGGTCTTTGTTGGTGACCCGTCCTGACACCATTCTGAATTATTTGGTATGACTGGGAAACACGGAACCAGTCGAGGTATTGCGGCAAAACATTGTAAACCGCGGAAGGAAAATTTGATATCCTGCATCAGTTCGCAAAGCCATGAAAGCCTCTACTATTGCGTCATATCTCTGCTATCAATCAACGCCAGAAAGCATGAAATTGACCAGCTTCTCCTGCTGAAAGCTCGTGAGCTCCGGATTTGACGCAGATTCCGTCGAAACATGGGCGTATATTTTGATACCACGCTGTCGCGGACGAAGGCACCGGTCATGGCCACTGCAGCCCGCGGGACTAGCGGGTATGAGGGGCGTTCGTGACTGGCTACGGGGGACGTTCGTGATCTTGAGGTCGTTCAGGTGACACAGGACACATTGATCACCAGCGAGGTCGCGGGCTGGGTGAGCTTTGCTTCAGCTATGGAAAAGGTTTCAACTAAGCGCTCCAGTGTTGCTGGGCTGGTCGTCGCACATCCTATTGGCTGGTGCATTTGCACTCGGTGATCGCAGGATGATGTAGTTTTCAGCCGCGTGAGCGGCAACTCTTAAAAGTTGTCAAGTACGAATTGTTGCATGCAGGCTGGACGCATGCATAGACGCAACACTATCTTTGCATGCAGGATGGCAGGCAGACACTGGCATATACACTGGCTGCTCAAGAGGGTTTTCCTGCAACGTTTCGACATTGCTTATTGTTGCAAAAGTGCTCAGGGACACGAGACGAACGGGTCTAGATCTCAACGGCCTGGCGTCTCAGCGGCACGGGCCGAACATGGTTCGACGGAGTGGAGAGCGGACAGTCGCACGCGCCATGTGTGCCGGCGGCCACGTAGATGACGCATCTGTCCCAGGCACACCTTGGATCCGTCCGTGTTGGAGCCTTTTAAGGAGTGATATCAGATCTCAGCGGCCAGAGCATGTGGAGACCTGAGACCACCGGCATGTTGTAGGCTAACGCACGGGCGCAGCTCACTGACCACTCACGACTTGTTGGGAAAGCTGCCAATGTCACATTTTCCGAAACCGATCTCGAAGGCAAGACACATTGGCCCAAACCGAGAGTTGTGCCACACTGGTTCAGACATTTGGTCTTGTTTATTGTGACCCATATCTACCCAAGATGTTGACATATGCTGCTACTCTTGGTCGCATTTATTAAAGCCTTAAATCTGTGCAAATTCATCTATGTCCTTCGCAATAATGTTTGCGTGCCACATCAGTGGATTTCCGCTTTTTGGTCTCTCATGAGAGGTGAATTCTCCAACGCATTCGTCAGACCTCATTGTCATGGCAAGCGAAATATGTAGGGCTCCAGCAGCCGTGCTTTGGGCTTCATCGACGTAAGTGCAATTGATGACTTCACCATATCTGTATCGCCTCGCTCGTATCATGCTGCGTAAGGCGTCACTGACGTGGAATGATCGTTTACGTAGTGACCGAGGTCACCTCACGCCAGTCAAGACCGCATGTTGCCTGTTGCGCAACGTGCCATGCTTTTTCAACATGAAGAGTACCGCAACACGGTCAGTTCGTTGCGCACGCAGTCCCTCTGAGCAGGCTAAAGATGTAGGCATTCTCCTTTGTGTCAGCGTCGAATAGAGGGCACGGAGAGCGTCAAATCCCGCGGGCTGTGAGCGGCAGTGCCGATCCAACTTGCGGCCGAGCCGTGCAATCGGCCGTATGAGTTCATCACCGTGTTTGGGCTGACGTCACCGCATGACCTCGGCTGGCATCGCTTGGTCTCCAAGCGAGGCCGCGATGTAAATGAACCGGCAGCTGTGTACCGCCAGCGCTTTGCCATCCACCATGTCGGGTGTGATTTATCGCCGGTGTTCTCATCTTCGGTTACACGTGTGGGGAATACACCATGGTTATAGAACCCAAGGCCCAAGATGTGAAACTAATGCACAATGTAGGCAAATTGGCCAGTTTCAACATAGCGATTTATTGAAATCTGTCCTACATATGTGTGCGCCTAGCACATGCCCGCACGCTGCCGCCGTCACTATTTCCAAAATCCATCTAGATTACGGCGCAGTGTGACGTAAACCGATATAAACGTGATCATGAAAAACATTCAGTCGTAAAGCCCTGTTTGATGTGTCAATCGTCCCATTAAAACATTCACATCTATCGCACTAGTTTGGTGATACAGCTAAACCGCAAATCTTTGCAAATCCATCGATGTCCTCGATTGGAATTGTCAGGCGAAGCTAGGCTTGCAGTCAGTCATTTTCACGCTCCGCTATTTGTCAATAAGTGCGCGAATGCTACGTCAGTGTAGCTCGGCCTGTTCAGTTCTAAGGAGGGTTAGGCTTTCGTACCCATTTATGATATCTGTTGGTGTCGGTTTCAGAAAGTCTTGACGTCATAAGCTTCATTTTTACATCGTCTGTCTAACACCCGGTCACTGTGGCCAGCTCTGCTGTCTCTGCCGTCGACTCTTGTCCCATCCGCCGTCGCTTCTTGTCACATCTGCTGTCGCCTTTTGTCTCATCTGCTGTCGCCTCTCGACCCACCCGTTGTCACCCCTTGTCCCATGCGCTGTCGCCCCCTGTCCCACCTGCTGTCACCTCTCGTCCCATCTGCTGTGGCTTCTTGTCCCATCTGCTGTCGCCTCTTGTTTCATCTGCTGTCGCTTCTTGTCCCATCTGCTGTCGCCTCTTGTCTCACCTGCTGTGGCTTCTTGTCCCATCTGCTGTCGCCTCTTGTCTCACCTGCTGTTGCCTCCTGTCCCACCTGCTGTCGCCTCTCGTCCCATCTGCTGCCGCCTCTCGTCCCATCTGCTGTGGCCTCTTGTCCCATCTGCTGCCGCCTCTCGTCCCATCTGCTGTGGCCTCTCGTCCCATCTGCTGCCGCCTCTCGTCCCATCTGCTGTGGCTTCTTGGCCCATGTGCTGTCGCCTCTTGTGCCATCTGCTGTCGCCTCTTGTCACATGCCGCATCGACAGTCGCGGGTACCAATACATACAATTTGGTGATCAACACCTGCCGACGAACGAATGAACGAACTCATGTCGCCGACTTATTGCATCCAACTGACCTGATCTGTCCTGTGATATGTTTATGGTTGACGCATTGTGCTGAATATTACAGAGAGAAGATAAAATGTTCGAAGACAAAATCAGCCAAGTGATACAGCTCACAGGCAAAACAAAAGATGAGGCAGAAATCGCCTTGTTCGACTGTGATTACGACCCTACGAGAGCTATCAACATGCTCCTGGAAGGTGACGATCAGGTACGGCGTTCTTTTTTTTGTCGGCGATAGTTGGTTTTAAAAGAACTAGCGTTTGAATAATTCGACATCTGGCATGTATTTCATGTCCTGCACGCATCATCGTCGGCTATCAGATTGTGTCACGGTGGACAAAACGGCTTAAAACACTCCTGAACGCCCATTTCGCAGCCTTGTTTCCGATGTGTACCATCAAAATGGATCTAGCAGCTAGCAGCTGTTCTTAAGTCATACAGGTATGGTTTCAAACTTTCAAACGTTGTTGCCCCGCTTTGGGATTCCTGTGGAATGGCTCTTTGCATGCGTGTGCGTGCGTGCGTGCGTGCGTGCGTGCGTGCGTGCGTACGTACGTGCGTGCGCGCGCGCGCGTGTGTGTGTGTGTGTGTGTGTGTGTGTGTGTGTGTGTGTGTGTGTGTGTTGTGTGTGTGTGTGTGTGTGTGTGTGTGTGTGTGTGTGTGTGTGTGTGTGTGGTGTGTGTGTGTGTGTGTGTGTGTGTGTGTGTGTGTGTGTGTGTGTGTGTGTGTGTGTGTGTGTGTGTGTGTGTGTGTGTGTGTGTGTGTGTGTGTGTTGTGTGTGTGTGTGTGTGTGTGTGTGTGTGTGTGTGTGTGTGTGTGTGTGTGTGTGTGTGTGTGTGTGTGTGTTTTAGAGAAAGACAGGGTCGTCGGGGTAAGACAGGGACAGACACAGACACAGACACAGGCAGACAGACAGGGTAAGGGTAAAAGACAGGGACAGACAGTTTCCCTCCGCGAGTGTCACGCCTCCGAAGTAACCACGGCGCCGGCGTCCAGCCTAAAATCCGTTTTTGCTCTCGCCTGTCCAGGGCGAGTGGGTGGAAAAGACGAAGAAAAAGAAGCTGCCAAAGCCGGCGCCGGCCGACCAGAAGGCGCCAGAGGAGAGCGCAGGCCCCAAGGAGGAGGAGCGGGACCGGGACAGGGATCGGGACCGGTCCCGCAGCCGGGGCGGTCAGCCCCCGCGACTGCGGCGGGGCGCCGCTCAGGACAGGAGCTGTGAGTGCCGGCCAGGGCCGCCCGAGGCCGCGGCGGGCTCGCGAGCAGTCATGGCTCGGTGGACGAGCTGGTTCGTTACCTTCGTAATGCGACGCGATCAAGCGGCGGGACCAAAGTTTGTGTAATGTATACATGACGCATGGCGAACTTCGTAATGTGACTTAATCAACCGGGGAGGGCCAAAGTTGGGCTAATGTGTGCATGACGTATGATGAACTTCTGTCATACCTAGCTTTAAATAGCTGACGTACTTCCGCTTGTTTGACCGTGAGTTCGAGATGCTCACTCAATACGGACATGGCGGCAGCAGGCGTTTTTCGAAAGCAGTATGCCACTAACCGCGCTGCCCCTCCACCGCCCGCAGGGAAGGCGCGAGAGAGCCGGGAGAACGAGAAGAACGCGGCGGACGGCGGCGACGGCGAGGGGCGGCCACGCTGGGCGGGCCGCGGCGGCGGCGCACGCGGCGGCCGTGGCGGCCGGCGCGGTGCGCTGGGCTCGCGCAGCTTCCAGACGCGCCGCGGCGACGACTTCGCCGCCATCGACACCTGGACGAACCCGGGCGACGAGCGGGGCGGCCGCGGCCGCAGCCGGACGCAGCCCGGCGGCGGCTGGGACCAGGGCTTCCCGGCCGCCGACGACTGGGACAACGAGGAGTGGGGCGGCTCGCTCACCGACACCAAGGTGTTCACGCCCAGCGCGCCCGTGCAGCCGGCGGCGCCCGCGGCCGGCGACACGCCGGTGTCTAGCACGCCTGCGCCGCCGCCCGCCTCCACACTCGGCCCCAGCCTCGACCTAAGGGCACTGCTCGGCAAGGCGCCCGCCGCCGGCGAGGCCGGCGGCGACGCGCCGACGTACTCGCAGTTCGCGGCGACGCCGGCAGATGGGGACGCTGTGCGGCCGGTGGCCATCGGCTCGTCGGCGCCGGCGGCCAGCGCGGTGGCGTCGAACGCGCCCGGGGTGTACAGCTATAGTAGCGCGACGGCGCGGCCGGCGGCGCAGCAGGCCGCGCCGGCTGCCTCGTACCCGTCCGGCTACACCAACCCACCAGGTCAGCCCCATTTGTCGCCGCCGGACCGCTGAGGCGTCCGACAGGCTGCGTCGAGTGGCCTCCCCCTCCCCCTCCCCCTCCCCCTCCCTGGTTTTGGTTTCGTGCCTGGGATTATCGGTCTGCTTTCCTTTGACGACTAGGGCACTATACGGCTTTGCAGACCAAGTACCGCAACAAAATCTTGTTTTTGTCACACAAATTACTCGGGCCCTGGGCTGGGTCTGTGATCAAGCGTTGTCTCGCTGTCGATGCCTTCTCACGATGGGTCGCGTGATGCAGCGTCTCCACCCCATCAGCTGTGACTCGTCTGGTCTGGTCTGGTCGTCTGGTCTCCGCCTCATCAGGTCTGATTCGCAGCGTCTCCGTGCGTTCTGCGCAGGTCTGAGCTACTCGTCGGGGTACACGTCTGACAGTTTCGCGAGCCAACTCAAGTCGTCGCTGGCGCCGTCGGAGCCGGTGTCCACGGCCACCAGCATGTCGCAGTCGTTGCCGCAGAGGAGCAAAGTACAAAAGCCGCGGATGCAGCCGCCGTCCAAGGTCAGTGACGCAGCGCCGACGGGCTGCAGCGTGGAGGCCGCTGGGTTTATGTGTTGTCATCGGGCAGAAACGGGGCATGGCAGCTTGGTTTATCTGCTGATGCCGTTCATTCCCGTTTGATGGCATTGAGGAATACGTGTCTTGGCTCCAGCGGCGTAGGGGAGGTAGCCACGCTCGGCGTGCTGACGCGCGGTTTGTCGGCCTTCAGATTCCGGAGTCGGCCGTGGAGATGCCCGGCGATCCCGTCTCGTCGCTGGGCGTCAAGTTCGGCGGCCTCGACTTCGGCACCTCCGACAGCAAGCCGTTTCAGACGCCGGACGGCGACGCGGACGCCTTCTCCTCGGGCGTGGCGTCGTCCGGCCCGGAGCAGCAGCTGGGCTCGCTGCCGTCCGCCGGCCAGCCGGTCAAGGTGGGTGCCGTGCGGCCGCCAGCCCGCGCCCCCGTAACGCCCCGCCCTCTAACCGGCCCGTGTGCGTGTGTCGCCCGTCGTCCGCGTCGGCGTGCCGTGGTGTGCTAGTCGGCCGGGCCTCGCCGCGCCCTCCGCCGCTCGCTCTCTAGCCCCCGGCCCGCCGTGTCCGCCGACAGAGCGCGCGGGACTCGGCAGCCGCCTCGTACTCGGCCGGCGCGGCGACCGGCGACGACGCGGCGCCGTCCACGGGCTTCGCTCCGCCGGCGCCCGGCCTCTACTCGTCGCAGAAGCTGTCGCCGGGGCCGGCCGGCTTCCCGGCGGCGCCCAGCGTCAGCGGCGCCTCGTTCTCGCAGCTGGCGGCCTCGTACGGCGGCGCGGCGGCGGCGCCGGCCGGCTACAGCCAGCCGGCCGCCTTCAGCACGGCCAGCGCGCCGGCCTTCTCGTCGGCGGCGCCCACCTCCTCCTTCAGTCAGACGAGCTCGGCCGGCTCGTACCCGAGCGGCAGCTATGCTGGCGCGGGCGCCGCCGCCTACAGCGCTGCCTACAACAACGGCTCGTACGCGGCCGGCGCCGGCGGCACGCTGACCGGTAACTCGCTTCAGGAGAAGCTCACCAACGCGCTGTCCAGTGGCGGCAAGGCCAGCCAGGTAGGTGACGTCTGCGGGCGGCAGGCGGCGGCGTCGTCAGCGCGCGGTCAGTGTTGTGTGCGCTCCCGAGGCGATTGCTTGCCACCCAACCTGACCCGACCTGACCTGACCTGACCTGACCTGACCTGGCTCGCACCGTATCGCAACCGCACTCCGTGGTCCGGTGCGTGTCGTGTGCGCAGCTAAAACGAGTGATAACACGCAGTTCGTGTGCGGCCGTGTTGTGACTGGTGTCGGTCGTGTTTGGACCCGTTTAGTCTTAAGCGTGAATGGTGCCGTCGATCTCGATCCAGGGAGTTGGGTTGACCTCCCGATACAGGAAACCGTCACCATCTGGACTGATGACGTCACTGGCCTAGATAGTTTAATGCCTAGATAAGCAATCAAACTTGAGAATTTAAGTCGTCATGAGCATTTTGACGTTGAAGTCGCAGACTCAGGCTGGCAGTCGTGATTCGATTCAGTTGTCATCGCAGCTGCGGGGCCTTGGCGTGTGTTGGCTCCGACCTCCCAACACCAGCCGTGCGTACCCCGCCCCGTCCGGCGCCGGCGGCTGACCCATCGCCGTCTGGCTGTCCCGCCCGCAGTACGAGTCGTCGAACGCGGCCAGCTCGCTGGCGTCCAGCGTGTCGACGGCCGCCTCCTCGCTGCCGGTGGGCCTGGCCGGCGGTGTCGGCTCAGCCTCGGCGCCTGGTCGCTCCCACACCGCCACCAGTACGTGCCGAGAACGCGGGGCCTGGCCGCTGCGCTCGTGGGAGACGGCGTGTGGCTGTCAGGCTCGAGTGGTGGCGCCTAATATTGCGGTTGACCCTCCAGTAAATCGGTTGTGCCTCCGTGTTGTTGCTTGTTATGAACGGAAAATTTGAGTGACTACTCTGGCCGGTGCCGTTATGTCCGTTACTACGTTACACGAGCTGTTTATATATTAATGTTTCCAACGCTCCTCGTTTGTCCCTGCAAAACCTATCCAGCGCTGGACCGCTCAAATCAGCGCAGAGTGTCGGGAACATCAATGATGTCCCTAGCGTTAGGGCACTAGGAACGATGCCACATGTATCGCTGACAGATCCAGCCTGTCCGGCCCTGATGTTGTAAGAGCGGGGTCAGACAGTGGCCAGCCCTGGCCGCCGGGCGCTGCCGTCGTCACGGCGAGGCGGGTGTCCCCAGGAGCTGACCGCCGCCCCCAGGAGCTGACCGCCGCCCCCAGGAGCTGACCGCCGCCCCCAGGAGCTGACCGCCGCCCCCAGGAGCTGACCGCCGCCCCCAGGAGCTGACCGCCGCCCCCAGGAGCTGACCGCCGGCCCCAGGAGCTGACCGCCGCCCCCAGGAGCTGACCGCCGCCCCCAGGAGCTGACCGCCGCCCCCAGCGGCTGACTTCCGCCCCCAGGAGCTGACCGCCGCCCCCAGGGGATGACCGCCGCCCCCAGGGGATGACCGCCGCCCCCAGCGGCTGACCGCCGCCCCCAGCGGCTGATCGCCGTCCCCAGGGGCTGACCGCCGCCCCCAGCGGCTGACCGCCGCCCCCAGGGGCTGACCGCCGCCCCCAGGAGCTGACCGCCGCCCCCAGGTGCTGACCGCCGCCCCCAGGAGCTGACCGCCGCCCCCAGGAGCTGACCGCCGCCCCCAGGAGCTGACCGCCGCCCCCAGGGGCTGACCGCCGCCCCCAGCGGCTGACCGCCGCCCCCAGCGGCTGACCGCCGCCCCCAGGAGCTGACCGCCGCCCCCAGCGGCTGACCGCCGCCCCCAGGAGCTGACCGCCGCCCCCAGGAGCTGACCGCCGCCCCCAGCGGCTGACCGCCGCCCCCAGGAGCTGACCGCCGCCCCCAGCGGCTGACCGCCGCCCCCAGGAGCTGACCGCCGCCCCCAGGAGCTGACCGCCGCCCCCAGGAGCTGACCGCCGCCCCCAGGAGCTGACCGCCGCCCCCAGGAGCTGACCGCCGCCCCCAGCGGCTGACCGCCGCCCCCAGCGGCTGACCGCCGCCCCAGGAGCTGACCGCCGCCCCCAGCGGCTGACCGCCGCCCCCAGGAGCTGACCGCCGCCCCCAGGAGCTGACCGCCGCCCCCAGCGGCTGCCCGCCGCCCCCAGTGGCTGACCGCCGCCCCCAGCGGCTGACCGCCGCCCCCAGCGGCTGACCGCCGCCCCCAGCGGCTGACCGCCGTCCCCAGCGGCTGGCCGTCGTCCCCAGCGGCTGGCCGCCGTCCCCAGCGGCTGACCGCCGCCCCCGCCCTGCCGCAGCGCGGTCGGGCAGCATGCCAAGTGTGCCGCCCGGCGTGCCGATGCAGTACTTCGTCGGCCAGACGGGCGTGCCCACCTTCTACCCGGGCATGCAGCAGATCTACGGCTACGAGGAGATGCAGGCGCTACAGCAGAGGCTGCCGCACCTGGTCAGTCGAGGCGCCGCCGCCGCCGCCGCCGCCGCGGTGCGCTGACGGGGCCGGCACCGGGTGGGCTGTCCTCGGTAGCTGCTCGTGCCATGTGGCTGGTATCAGGGACTTTGAAATGGGACGCGGCAGCCTTACTTGGAATGCGCGATGGGTCGTTGCCTCGTCTCGGGAGCGATTCTCGCAGCCTTTGACGTCTCCGTGCTGCTCGCTGCGGCTTCTCCTCCACACGCCTATGTTTGTGACGTCAGCACACTGTCTCTTCTTCGGTGGTAATGCCTGTAAGTCCTTCCCCCCCTCCCCCCGTGTTCCCTTCCTGCGTCCGTTTGCTGTCGTCTGTCGTTTGCCCTGTGGCAGCGACCGTGGCGCCCCCTGTCGCTGACGCTGCAGCTGGATGCGCCGTCGTGCGCCCCATACTCACTTCGGCGGCAGCTGTGCTGTCTCCTTCGCGTCCGTGGTCAGCAATGTTTGTGATGTCTCCGTCCCAAATCAGGTCACCTGGGTCTGTGACGTCACATTTCCCTCCCGCTTTAGCATTGTCACGTTGGCTTCCCGTTTGTTGCGTCAGTGTTATGAGCATCACTCGCCTGGCGGCGACACTTCTAATGCCGCGTGTCCCCGCCGCTGCGGCAAGGCTTCTGGCGTCACTTCCCCGCCGCAGGAGCAGTGTTGTGGCGTCAGCTTCCCCTCCGCCGCAACAGCAGCTCTTGTGACGTCACCCACCGCCGGCCGCGCGGCAGCAGTGTTTGTGGCGTCACGCGTCCATTCCGCTCCGGCCATGCTCGTGACGTCCCGCCGTTCCGCTGCTGCTGCTGCGTCTTGTGACGTCACCTGTCGCTCCGGCAGCAGCAGCAGGCGGCTAACAACCAGGGGCGCGGAGACGCGGCCTCGGCGCTGGGCGCCTCGGCGGCGTTTTCCATGGCGGACGCCAAGTACAGCAGGCAGGAGGCCTCGTCGCCCGTGCAATCGTCGCTCAACCAGCAGGTAAAGGTGTGTGCCATGGCCTCTGCGCTTGCTGCTTGGCGCGCGCCGTCGGCTGCTGCGGCGAGCGGCGACGCGCCCCCGCCCGCGATGCTGCTCGGCCTGCTGCGCGCGCTCGCTCGCTGCCAGGCTGCGTTCCAGAATCAGCTGCGTGGCGTGCTCTGGTAGGTGCTACGTGTGTGGAGGCCGTCTTGCCGCGCTTGCCAGACGCTCGTGGACGGTGTGGCGTGGTGTGTGCTGCTTTTGGTGCCGCTGGGCGGTGTGACGGATGAGACGGAGTCGCCTGTGGTGAGTGACGCCGCTGTCCTGTGGTTTGCAGTCGCAGCAGCAGCAGCAGTTCTTCAACGCGGCGGCCATCCCGCCCAACTACACGTACTTCCCGTTCGTGCCCCAGTACAGCATCTACACACCGATGCCACCGGCCACGAACGCGGCGCACCAGGCGTCCAGCACGAGCCAGTACCCCAAGATGGCGTACAACGCGACCTCGTTCGGCGGCTCGTACGACTCGCTGGCGTCGGCGCCGGGCGGCGACTACAAGTCGGCGGGCTTCGTCGGCTCGGCCGGCCACAAGCTGGGCGGCTCGGGCTCGGTGGGCGCCGCGGCCGACCTCAGCGCCGTCTACAGCAAGATGCAGCTGGGCAACAAGTACGACAACAAGGGGTTCCACGCGGCCACGCCACCGCCCTTCAATCTGGCCGGCCAGGCGCAGACGACGCCGCTGGCGGCGCCCGGCGGCTACGCGCCGCACATGTTCATCCAGACGATGCCGCCGCAGCACCAAATGGTGCACCCGGGCCACCAGGACTCGAGCGTGGGCGGGCCGCAGCGCGCCGCCCAGCCCAGCAAGGCGGCCGCCAAGAACAGCTACGGCGGCGGCTACTGGCCGGGCAATTAGACGGGCGCCGGCGGCCGTCGCAGGGGCGGCGACCCTCTCACGGGCAGGAGGCTGCCCTGCTGCCCGAGCCCCGGCGTCTGGCGCCGTCTCTGGCGGGCGCAGCCGGCCCGCCCCCTCGCTGTACCTACATTGGTGAAATGTACCGTTATTTTTCGCTCTCGTGTGATTTGAAACGCAAAAACGGCTTATTGACCTTTGATGTTTGATGTTAAATATGTAGTAGGGTGTCGACACCGGTTTTGTATATAGGTGCTTCGCAGGACGGCACGACGGGCACAAATTGTCTGACAGATAATCATGTGTTTTTGGTACAAAGGTATTACGGCCGAACGACAGCCAGTTTACTTGGTTCCAGTCCGAGCCCTGTACCATGGTTTTAACCTCAGCCTGTCCGGAGACGCGGTCCTATACCTTCAGACCTGTGATACGGACAACCGCGACAGACGCCTGTGTCCTGGGGAGGGGTATGCGCCACGCGCTCCGTACACATTGGGCATTCGAGGAGCGGCCGAGTTTGCGCTGGTTGTATATACTGCGCGGTTCGCGCCAGCGCGCCGTTTGAAAATTAGGTGTCGCGATAACTTACTACTTTCGTGTTTTGTAAAGCTTTCTTGGAGGTACTTCGCCGTCAATACAAAACAAAGACGTGCTGGCGTCTGCGGCTCTGTGCTGGCGATGATGGGATGTTTGTCGCCGCCTGGGGTCGCTGTTACGCGGCTGGGTTGTGACCGGATTGGTGCCTGGACAGGTCGAAAGGGAACCGACAACATGCGGAGTGGATGGGTGTGCACGGCGTGGACGTGTGCGATAGCACGCTCGCAGTCTGGCTATCTGGCCGAGAGTCGGCAAACCCCGCAGACTACAGATGTGGCAGATGCCGTCACGTTATTCATTGCTGGCAATGTGTCGCCGCTGATGAACATGTCTACACGAGCAGCGTGCCGGTCGCGTCCAGAATGTTGTGACAACACTGAGTTCTAAATGTTTTTAGAAAAATATTCCAAATCGAACTCCGTATGCTAATGTGCGAAACTCCTTTCTTTGAGCGGAGGCTTGGGAGCGGCGTAAGGTGCACCGGTTCACAGGTTTGCCGGAGGCTGCGGGACAGGGGGTGTAATGGGGGAAGGATTGGACCTGGGAAATGGGACCGGTAATGCAGGAACGAGGGGTGATGACTTGGGGTGAGGGTTCAATACATTCGACTCCCAGCTTCTGGGCTAGATAGAACACAAGGATAAAGCAATTAAAAACCTCTGATCGACTCCCAGAAATGACCGGGTAGTGTGACACTCGGCCGCCGCAATTTTGTGCGCCGGTTAGGCTATTTCATCAGACTTAGCACCCTCAACGTCCTGATAGCTTCCACGTGTAATTGAACGGGACATTTGCAGCAGCTGGCGCCGGCTCCAAGTAAGCGTTGCCGTCAGGCTGGGTATGGGCAGTGATGCGTCAGTTGCCCGCGGTCTCTGTCGGGTTGCGCTGAACGGTCATGCGTCGTCCCCCTTCAGCATGAACGCGCTGGTACAAGATTCAGCCAATTTCGTCGGCAGGAAGCGGAGTGTCACACGACATGAAGACACCTGATGAGGGTATAATTCCACCAACAGGCACCTGATAAGGGTATAATTCCAGCCTTCGTGAGGCAGATCGGCGGGGAGTGCGGTGCCCAAACATCAGCCAGCAGAAATACCAACATCGCCAACATTAGGTCTGGGTGTGTCATGACTGGAGGAAACGGTACATTATAAACGTTCATTCATTTGGCACATTTGAAGTGATCAAGGCTTGATCTTGAAGTGACAAGACTTGATGTTGGTCAAACTAACCTAACCGTATTTTCCGCGACGGTATTTCAGTACGAGTATCTTAATAATCAACATACAACGGCAAATATTTACTCTCGGGTTCTCAACTACGCGTGACCTCGGAAAGGGGGACTTCATGCCACGCATCCCCCGGACTATGCAAACGGGGTCCTCCGGCCGTGCCAGGCTCTTGTCGCGGCTCTAACACAGGCCTCCGGCAGGGACACCTTACATTTGAAGTCCCTCGCGCGGGTACAGTGAGTATCGGCGCAGCGTTGTCAACTTGGTAATGACTTAGTTGGTGTGGCAGCCACACAACTGTGGGAAGAAGCCAACGATAGGAAGCTATGAGTGCGTTTCCCACGGTTATAGAAGTCTGACAACGATGCGCCCCGCGGGTAGAAAATGGAGCATTGTAGGTATACAGCCGGCGTGCCATCTCCCCTCCAAATATGCATGTTATGGCTTTTCCGATGAGTGACGCTCTGCAGCGCTGACACTTTTTCTGCGTATGTTCCATCCGTGCCAGCAGGCGGATCAATTCGGGCGTCGTCTGGCGGGTGGCACACTCCGGTGTAACCAAACTCGAGTGTTGCTACTACGCTTCCGAACTGTCCTGACCGTTCGCTTGGAGTTTGCTCTCTTAACCACACGCTGCACTCCCTCCCCCACCTTGAAAAGTGGGTCGGGGGCACTGGCTCCCTGCCGCCTCGCCCCCCCCCCCCGCGTTCCTACACCACAGAAACAGCGAGTCCTCGGCCCCAACAGTCTTCCTTGCCCGTTTCAAGGGACACTGCGTAAGCGGCAGTTCGTTTATTTACAAAACCACGGCCGTACGCGTCCGCTCCGCCATTACATTAGCGCGCGGATACGTGAAGGCCCCGCTTGAACAGTCCCGCTGCCTCGCACCAACCGTGAGACGACACGCGTTGACATCGGGCCGTCTGGTGAGCGGGCAGGGCTTCGGTGAGAACATCGCACCAATCGTGGACGCTATGCGTCGACGGCGGGCCGTCTGGTGAGGGGGCAGGGCTTCGGTGAGAACATCGCACCAACCGTGGACGCTATGCGTCGACGACTGGCCGTCTGGTGAGGGGGCAGGGCTTCGGTGAGAACATCGCACCAACCGTGGACGCTATGCGTCGACGGCTGGCCGTCTGGTGAGGGGGCAGGGCTTCGGTGAGAACATCGCACCAATCGTGGACGCTATGCGTCGACGACTGGCCGTCTGGTGAGGGGGCAGGGCTTCGGCGAAAGAACACGTAAGTCATATGGCTCGTTCGGTTGGGCCTCGCACACACGCGTTACCGACCTCAATGACGTCAGACTGTCGTCGCTGGCCCGCCTCCCCCACCTCCCTGGTCCACTGGGTAACAGCGGCGTAGCATCAGATGCGCGCGTGGTATTGATACTCTGCGAGCAAGCTGGCACGTTCATCGACTTTCACGAAACCGAGCATAAACCGGGACGCATTCAGCAGTCGTATAAGGCGAGATCGTCCACACTGTGGACCACAGCAGGCTAACTCGGTGGTTTTAAGGTGAACAGCACCAATAGCGACAGAGCTATAGCAAGCGTGGGCTCTCGCATGCCATGAGCCCACTGACGACCAGTGCGCAGCGGCGCTCCGAGTGATGACGCATTGCTGACTAATGCCCGGGCACGAGTGCAGAGTTCCGCCCCGTCGCCTCTGGCAGCTGCTCTTCACTAACTCGCGCCTTTTCCAGCTCCGGTTGTCTCACGGTCGGCCGTCCATGATCGTCTTCGGTCTGCACACCCTCCGCATCGAGCCGTCGCCTGTCGCCGTTCTCCAGCCGCTGCCCCGCCGACCTCGCCAGCTCCTGTGCAGCGCCGCCTGCCGCCCGCTGCTGTGCTGCCGACTGGCGACGCCCGCCGGCCGGCCGCGGGCACGGGAAGCGGCGGCTCTGGCCACACGCCCGACACGTCCACACCTGGCAGCGCTGCGGCCGCGAGCGCGTGCGCACCGTGCACGTGACGCCGGGCGCGAGCAGAGCGTGGCAGGCCCGGCAGGCGGTGCGCTTCAGCCGCCGCTCCAGACGCAGCACAGCCTTCTGCGAGAAGGTGGCCAGCATGTGGGCGTAGAGACGTGAGGCGGCTGGCCGGCTCGGCTCGGCCCGCAGCGCCGCCCACGCCAGCTGGTACAGGTAGCTGGCCCGCTGGAAGTTGTCCAGGCCGACACGGGCCATCACCGCCGGCTGGGTCTGCCGGAGAGAGCACAGTCGGCCCGCGGATCACCGAACACACCGCGGTGCGCAGCAACACATCAACCCCCAAAAAACCCGCTGTTTAAGGGGCCAAATAAGAGCGCAAGGTCGTAATGTGTGATGATCCACTGCTGTAATGTACTGTCGACGCTGCTTGACTCGCACTTGTTACCCAATGATCCGTGGATCCTTGGTAAATGACTGGTACAAAATGTAGTAGTTATCTCGGTGCTTTCATCAGCAAAAGATACCACTGGACCAGATGACGCCGACGCACGTTAACTTCTTGACGTGCAGTTCGCTGTGGACTACTGATCCCATTTAAATGTCCATGCTAGTCCAATCAGCCCTGGGCACCTCAGCGCACCCATCTGGGTGTCCAATTTGTCACGCGCGCACGCACGCACGCATGGGCTGGAAGGACAATGCCCACGAAAGAACGTAGCATATGTGATGTCCTGTAACCCCTGCCGTGTGACTTTTGTGGGAGAAAAGAAAACATAGCATTCGGATATGGCATAAAATAGCACAACAAACACCTTGGAGATGCACGTTCACGGAGGACGTACACACCAGTAGGCCAACACATGGTAGACCGGCGCGCAGCAATTGACCATAGCGCAACCAGTAGCAACTTCAAAGAAAAAATATCAGTAACAGCCAGACAACGCAAACTTCAAGATCTTAGAAATACTGGTGCGTTTGACATCTTCGTCCGAGCCTGAACACGAACGATAACAATATAATAGTTGAAAGATGTATGCATATATATGCATTATATTATATATATATATATATATATATATATATATATATATATATATTCGGTACGGGTCATCCAAGTCTTTCTACTGAGGAGCCTGTGTTCCGGATACCCCCCAGCCCAGTACCCTGTTCTGTGTTGACACCCGAGAACCTGTAGGGCTCGAATATGGTGACGCAATGTCCGTGATGCCCGATATTCAGAGCAAACAATTTCCTACCTTTTACTCAATGTGGGACACCGTAAACTCCTGTTTGACAGCCTGTGTTTCGTGCAGCTTTCAGCGTTGCGCCATGTTCCGGCAGTTAGAGCGCGGGAGTTTGAACGACACCATTACTTTGATACATTTTCAAAGGCAGGCCCCGCAAAGATTCAACCTAATTTCGCCATCTAAAATGCAGAACTTTTAGAGCAATTCTTGGCTTAATCCTGTTAACTCGTGAACATGACCGCGGCTCGAAACGTCAGGTTTTGGCACAACAAATGTTTGCTCCAAAACGTCGATTACCCAGTACCTCTTGGTATATCTAAGGTCTAAGGTAAGGTCTTGGTGTATCTAAGGCCTAAGGTAAGGTATTATTGTCAACATCAGAACTCTAAACTCGCACAACTGAAGATCTACCATCAGTAAGGCCACTTTGGTCTGAATTCAGACATGATGAAAAGAACTTGTACGTTTTAAGCAAAGGACATGTCAGGCATTTGAGAGTATTAACGAACTCAGGTATCGGCCCTTTTTAGTTTTGGGTTATAATGAAAGAAAGCAGCTGCCTTAGATGTTCCCAGAGGGAGTGGTGGTTGATATGAAATGATGTTAACCAGTTGCACGACATATTAAAGGGAGTGTTCTAGATT